CGTCTCTTTAGACCAATAAAAGCATCTGTTTGGGGCTGTTTCCTGTTCCTGAACCGATTACATTCTCCCTTTTAACCAAGCCCAGTCTGCTTGGAGGAGAAGTGAGGTCTGCATTTCCAGCAGTCTCTGTGTGGTTATTTGTTTCAAATGGCATTGGTCTCTCATGCCCAAATGAAACAAATTAAAGGAATAAACCCTCCAGAGTTCAAATAAACCTCTCTAAACATGCTTGCTATGAAATCGCCCACAGACAAGCATTTGCCTTCTCTCACTGTGCTTTCCAAAGTCCTCTGACATGGCCAGGACTATTTCGGCCACCAGGGAGAATTAATAAGCCTTGATTTCCATTCTTTCCAGGCTTCATGCAGTGCTTAGTCTGCTGCATAGGAGGGCCAGGATTCATGCAGTGAAAATAGGAAGAGGAAAGAAAAGGGGGTGATGGTGGAGGCGACAAAGAGAATACAGGAAGGAAAAGACCTCCAATAAACTTTATAATCCAGTTCATAATTCAGTGAGTTCTTAATATAACCTGAAAAAAATTCTCTCCAAAGTAGCTCTGAGTGCCACATAACCACATAACAACTGTGATTTCCTTGTATGCCACAGCGAATGGGTGTGATTTAGCCCCTCGGTGCCTCAGAAAAAAGTATCTCTGATATCTGACCTTTGGTGATGGTAATTTCAGCTGGAACTGAGGTCTGAGGCAATATCTCCACTGACCACGCTCTTAGTATGCAGGTTTTCTCCACTTTGGAATATCTCACAGACCTTTACTAACCTTTAGTTTTTCAGCAGGGTCGAGACAGGTGTACGGAGTGGATAAAAACGAACCTGAGTATATGTGTGTGTGCATGTAAGAGTGCTTTGGCTAGGAAGCAAAGACAGGGGATGAAGCAGTATTAAGAGATAAATACTGTACAGGATGAGTAAGGAAAAGAGATATTCACTGGTCAGTAGCTACTGAAAATTATGCAAGAGAACTAAGAAAGAGTACCAAAAGAATTAAAACCATAAAAATAATTATGCTTAAATACAAACTAAGCACATGAAAAAGAACCACAGATCACACAGTTTCTAGTCAGTCCATAGTCAAAAAGCACTGCATACATTCGTTGTTTTTTTTTATATATATTTTTATATGAGAATGTCTCAAACTGTGTAAATACATTTACTGCACCAACGTCCTGTGAGACGAAATGGTTGCAAATATGAACGCTTCTAGTGTGTATGCATGTGCTCCTCTGTGTGTGCTCATTCACGGGAGGGTAGAGGAGGAGCGTCCATCTGAGTGTGCACGCAAATGTCCATATGTGCCTTGTTTGTGTGCCATTCTCCATTAAAGCTGCAATTGCTCAGCGGGCATGATTTTCCACTCTGCTGAAAGCAACACTCACCAGCGCCTCACCAACACGAGTCATCAGCTCCCATTACGCCTCGAAAAGACTTCAATCTCTCGGCTGATGACACTTTGAAACTGCTTCCCCTTACAAAATATTTCCCATAGGGTCGTCAGATATACTAACACACATAACACGCTGGTCTCTTATACTGAAGGCGCCATTGAGTCGCCGCAGTTCTCACTGTGGCTAACCCTCACGAAATCCCACACCTTGGCCTGTCCAGCTCCGTCCATTTTTGTATTCCTTCCATTCCTCTCGCTTTCTCCCTTGAGCCGCTCGTGCCTGCACCACACCGAGAGAGAGAACACTGCTGGTAATTAGTGGTCTTGATAATGGGGTAAGGCCAAGGAAGGTTGCCAATAATCTGGCCTAATTACTCAGATGTATGCCAAAGCGTTTGTCTAGGACAGGGTGGCAGATAATGGCTTTGGCAGGTGCTGCCAAGGATTTGCCCCTGGTGACGTTAGCTTTTAATGACCACTGAATTGTGCGCACGTGTGTGTATGCAAATGCAAGTCAATATTGCTGGTGAGACTGGTCTTAACCACTAGGGCAGAGTAGGGGGGAAAAAAACAGATTATGCCAAGACATCACATTATATTGTTCCATAATTGCTTCTGCAAATCCTGCTATCAATATTTCACAGTGGCTTCTTTCGGAAGCTTCCCTGTCTAGATTACATTTTCCGACAGCAAATGTCTGAGATTTAAAAGCAATTACACGACAATTTTAGTCTCGACTAGCAGCTCCTAGAGGCTGCAATATTCATTAAACCCCACAATATTAAGGTGTATAGTTTTATAAATGTTAATTTGCCAGGGGTCTCATGGCAAATCCTCCAGCCATCAAAATTAACAGGCTTTATGGTTAGCTTGAACACTTTCAGCATCCCTCGTCAAATATAAGTCTTTTTTCAATAGTTTTTATGCTACAAATTAACTGTGGTTCACTTTATCTATATTACTTATCTTTAAATACGGGGCCATTAGAATCAATTTAATAATAATTTTAATCCTGTTCTGCCATTTTCTTTATTAACTAGCAAGGTCAACCAATACGTTTACCTGTTGCATGAATACAGGTAGAGGAAGTATGGATCTCAGTAATTTTCTAGTGTTGCTGTTTGATTTCAGTAACTAAAGACATAAATGCAGATCCCACTTCTAAATATTGAACAAAACTTTATGTTGTTATTTTGTGCACAAACGTGCACCATCAAGCACAGCACTATTTCAGGCCGGCCACAAAGTCAAACTCAGCCGCAGTTCTGGCAGATCAACTGACTGCAAAGACATTTGAAATCAGAATTTGAAATACAGCTACACGTTCATCTGGCTATATCATAAGGGCATGCTTTTTAAGCTTCTTCTGTCATGGTCCCTGTGCCTCCCCAGCCAGCCCAGTGTGGCCACAAGTGTTTGTTATGTTACTCTCTCTCCACTCCCCTCGCCTTGCTCCCTTTCTCTCTCTCTCTCCTACCCATCTGCCTGGGCGGAGCTCTGATTGGGCTCCCGCCCTTGGCCCACACACCTGCAGCTGATCTCCGGTGATTTGCAGCTCTTCTTAAGGCAGGGGCTCTGAGCTACTCGTCGCTGGAATATTGAGTAACTCCCGTCAGTATTGCCTGGCTTCATCGGGAATCTGTTGTTCCCGTACTTACCTCCGACTTACCCTCGTCTATGTTTATAGGTTTATCTGGACCTGCCCGTGTTTGACTCCTGGACCCCGTGAGTGTGCTGCTTGTGTGAGGATTGTTTGGACAAGGAGCGGAGCAAGTGTGAAGAAGTGTGTTTCCCCAGCCTATTGATCCCCGGGACCCTGGTGTCCCCCCCTCACGTGTACATAGCGCACCTGAGTGATTAATAAAGTATTGTTGAACCGTGCTCCCTCAGTCTGCGCCTGAGTCCGTTCTACCACCCTGACATCTTCAGCCTGCCCACATTTCCTCCCCATCTGTAAACCACTTTGCAACCCACCTGCACTGTAATTCCTCCCTTCATTGTGTATCTATTTGCATGAATTTCATACTTGCTGTTGTTAATGGTATTCCGTAAAGTGGCCTTGCTACTGCTTTTACAGAAAAGAGTCATGTCACCAAATATAAATTATTGCATGTGGAAATTTCAAACTTCTTTTGACTGCAGTGATGCTAACCTAATTAATGCTTTGTACCATACTTACAAACATAATTGAAGTAGAGCCAAAAAAGTATTTTTAGCTGTTTTAAACTGGACAGTAGTCTGATCCAACAAGGAGTAACCACTACATTATGTGATATCTTTGTTTTACTACTTTTTGATGCACTTACATTAAAATTAGATCACATGAAATAAAAAAGCAAAGTCCCATTGCTGTTGCTTTTATTATTAGATTAATGTTTTCAATCAATTCATCAGTTTTCTCAACTGTTTTCCAATTCATGGCGACTAGCTTTGCTGCCAATGGTAGAAAGGCAAAGTTAGCATTTCTATAGAGACAGACAACCATTTATACTCACATCCACACCTTTTTCTGAATTTGAATGATCTATTTGGACAGCAAGAGGAAGTCGGAGTAACCAGAGAGAACTCAGGCAAGCACAGCGAGAGCATTCAACTCAAATCAATTCAATTTTATTTAAGGAAAGTTTTACGTTTAATCATAAAACTTAAAGAGGATGTCCGTCTCCTGAACCCAAACTGGGAGCTGGTTCCAGAAGAGGAGCCTGAAAGCTGAAGACTTGCCTCCCTTTCTACTTTTAAATATCCTAGGAACCAAAAGTAAGCCTGCAGTCTGAGAGTGAAGTGCTTTATTGGGGTGATATGGTACTATGACAAGATAAGATGGGGCTAAACTATTTCAGACCATGTATGTAAGGAGAATGGTTTTAAATTTGATGCTGAATTCAACAGGGAGCCAGTGAAAAGAAGTCAAAATGTGGGAATGTCTTTTCTCTTTCCAGCATCTGTCAGCACTTTGCAAATACAACACTGCTAACTCCACAGTCCCATTCATTTTTTCCTGTAATTGAAATTCAATATGTCGCTTTAACCCTTACTTCAAAGGGTAAGCACGGCTTTGTCACAGCAGTGTCGAGATGCTTACAATGAACCTGCCACTTCTTATGAAAATAGTTTGAAGAAGGTCAAAGATTGCCTTGCAAACACACTCCAGAAAGATGCAAAACCAACAAAACATAAACACTTAAACATCATCAGGAATAATGTGAGGACTTGCTAAGAAAAGACGACACAGCAAGTGATTACTTTCTATTTCAAGTCAACAGTAATCAGTAATCAGCCCGCATGCAGTAAGCACTAGAATCTTGAGAGCTGAATAACAAGTACTCCCAAAAAAGACAAAGGTTTCCTAAATGCAGTAGCCTTTTTATTCCCAGGGAGCCAATGGAGTCCAGAAAGATCAAGTCAAGCCAAGACAGTAAACACCCAAAAAAAGAAGGCCCTTGGTCACAGAAGCCATTTACTTTTATGTGCATATGGCTCAAGCCACTAGCAGTAGGATCTAGGTCTGCTGGAGGAAGCCCGTCTTCTTGGACGCCCTACATTTTCTCTTTGATCAAAATCACAGTGAAACAGTCGAAGGGTTTCTTTTTTCCCAAACCTGATGGCAGAATCATACAACGACGTGCAAGGAAAAGGCAACGCAGAAGGACACAGCAGGAGTTCACATAATGAAATAATCCACACGTTGTTGACTGACACTCACCTAAAGGAGAGGAGAAAAAGAGAACAGGGAGAGAAAATATTAAATAATGGATTCCAGCTGCAATATTGACAAGACAAGAATCACAAAGCAAAAATCATGGGAAGGTAATTACTGTGAATGTTTGAGAGGGGCTGTGCAGAACAGCTCATACTCGGCTGGTTCATGTGACTAAGGCAGACTTCCTTTGTTCGCACTCCTGACCAGCTTGACTCGTATTCAAGAGAGAGAAGGGAATTTGCTGACAGGTATGGGTGTAATTAAAGCCATGATTTCACATTAATATTCAAGGTTACCTCTTACCTCTGAAGTTGGCCATCAGGAAAAAAACCTCACTAGAGCTTTTAATGCCAGAGCCTTCCTGTTCTTACCTTTTTTTTATAAACTGACTGATCATTTTTCTTTATGTTGTTTAGTTTAGTTACTTTGTTTAGTTTAGTGAGTTATAATTAATCAGACAAGGCAACGTTGATTAAGGAAATAAGGTTGTACTGTAATGAACCTATGTGTTTTCCTTATTCAGTGATCAAAATCCACTAATCAATTTACTTCATTTTTACCCACCAGGTTTCCAGTAAAATCCCACATTTTCAATGAAAAAATTCTTCCGATGTCACTGAATCTGCTTATTAGAATATTTACCAAACCGCTATAAGTCTAATTATTTTCATTTGTTGCAGTCAGTAATTATGATTTATGCAGTCAAAACACTTGTGACTGCTTGATCCTCTAAAATCCGCTTAAGATTCAAATACCGCAGTTATAATACTGGCCTGTTACATTCCCAAAGGTTACTGCATAACAGTTTTCAAAGAACAGATGGTTTTGGAGAGAATAGATATAAGCAGGCAAAGTAAAGACGATCGCTCTAACTACTCAAAGGACCACTGTGTTAATTAAAGAGCGATAGACTTAAAACACAGCTTTCCCCACTGCTAACAAAGCCCAGTTACAATTCAGGCCCTGTTGTGTATTTGTTATTCATACAAAACACAGCGAGCCAAAAGCACAATTAAGGCAATGCTCGAGTGTGTTAAGACTAAACTTTAAAAGGAACCCTGAAAATATGTTAGTTTATAAAGATCTGGAAGCCAGAACGTCGGTGACGTAGTAGCTTCTCGGGCTCATGATCCATCACAGTCCGCAGGTTGCTGCAATGCGTGAAGCACAAAACTCAAGAAGTCAAGAAATCTTCTAAACAGACACATCGAGCACAAATTCATCGAATTTTACTAAAATCTGACTAATATTGAAATCTGACCTTGAGTACATTTTGGTTAAAGACTCAAAAGGTGATCATTGTGTGCAATTTTCATTCAAATCTGTCCGAAACTCTAGTCGGTGCATTGATCAGATCATTAAATGTATTCTAACTAGCAGTATTTATGTTGCTCTTTTATCTTTTTATCAAGTCAGTTTCATGGGCCACAATTATCAGTATGTACTGTATATCTTTTTAGGTAACTGCATGCGCCTTAGTCAGAAAACACTGAACACACTTCCTCAATGATCTGGGTACTGATCAGTGCTTTGCTTTCACAGGCAGCAACTGCCTTAGTGTACAGTTTATGCCCTACTGCTGTACAGGGGCATCTAATATGTACTGTCATTTACATTTCTTTGGATATTCACTTGCTACACAAAGGCATTTCAATTCTTTTTGGAGAAGGTTTGAGGCACATGTGATTTTAGTTGCTGCTTATAACCATTAGCATTAGCAAGCTCTTAAAGTTGACTTCATGCATCAGGAAAGAACTGCCATGAACTCAGTTGCAGCTCTGTTGGACGTTGTCTTCATACTCGACCATAACTATATCAGTTCTTTGGTTCCCTACAGACAGTGCACTACAATCAAAAGCTGTGCACTGTGCTTTTCTTACTTTATATACTCTGGAACATTAGAAATAATAATAGCTCTGGAGTGTAACCAGATTATCGTATCGATCCAGAGTGCTTTGAGTAATGGCAGCACTCATAGGTCAAAATATGATCTGAACAGTAGGGGTTTAAAAAAACAATACAAATATTTCATAAGATTTTAACAGCGTGCCTTGAAAGGCAAGGGCAAAATACAACTGAGCTCACAACTTGAAAGAGTTCAGTAGTACAAACAAGTATTCTTCACTCTGTTCAGCTTATACTGATACCAGCTCTCATATGTATATAAAGCACACAGAAGAATGCCAAGCAGACAAACACAGTAACTTTGGAACTTTGATATTTATTCATGTGTAGTGTTGACATGAATGACTCATGTCAACACTACACATGAATTTCAAAGCCAGAGCACTTCCACGATCACAGCCCGATAATAGCTTCACTCTCGTCCATTCGTGGCATCGTCTTCAGCCTGAATAAAAACTGGCTTGTGCTGCCCTCGTCACCAACCTTACAAAAGCCCAAAATCCCTCTCCTCAAACAACAGTCTGTAGGTCTAGATGAAGCCAACGCTCGTTGATTTCAATATTATTGGATAGCTAGAACCCAAACTGTTGTTGGTAAATCAGTTAAATTAAGCAGTTTTATCATCAAGGAACTGTTCCTTGTTCTTGCTCAGATGATGTTTACTTTACAAATTATATACATAATTTTTGTTTGTTTGTTTGTTTGTTTGTTTGTTTGTTTGTTTTTTGTTTGTGTTGGTTTTGTGTTTTTTTTTTTTTGGGGTGGGGGGGGGTGCACCAACAAGGAGATTCCCAAAGAGCTATTAGCCGAGAGCATGGATGTACAGTTTTTAAAAGTTTTGAGGAAATTAGACAAGTGGAGGAAAAAGAAAAAGAAAAAAATTAACAGTATGTGAAACTCATTTCCCTAAAAAGCAGGTAACAGAAATTCAGCAAAGCTATGACAAAGGACCTGTGATGGTGGCTATCATGAAGCCATTTTTAAGAAAGGGGAACATGGAAAAAAGGCTGAGGCACGCTTAATTATACAAGAACTGGACTGAAAATCATTGGCGATAGATCTGATGGTGTACTGAATCCAAACTTGATTTGGATTGGATACCAAAAACTGCCAGTGGAGTAAAAGCATGAACGTGAACAGAACCACACTCCCTTTAAGCTAGAGTCATCTGACGTGTTCTTTAATGGTTCTAGAAACATTTTACACAGTAATTTGTTTACTGTTCTACAGTTTCTATCTACTGAATGTGCTATTAAAATGTTTACTGCTCTCCGTTTTCACACATAGAAACTCAATGGAACTGTTTCATCCATCCATCATTCGCTTCCGCTTATCCTTTTCAGGGTCGCGGGGGGCGCTGGAGCCTATCCCAGCTGTCATAGGGCGAGAGGCGGGGTACACCCTGGACAGGTCGCCAGTCTGTCGCAGGGCCAACACACAGGGACAGACAACCATTCGCACTCCATTCACTCGCACATTCACACCTAGTGGCAATTTGGATTATCCAATTAACCTATCCCCACAAGTTGCATGTCTTTGGACGGTGGGAGGAAGCCGGAGTACCCGGAGAGAACCCACGCAAACACGGGGAGAACATGCAAACTCCACACAGAAAGACCCCGGCCTGATGGTGGAATTGAACTCAGGACCTTCTTGCTGTGCGGCAACAGTGCTAACCACTGTGCCACCGTGCTGTTCAATAAAAATGAACCACATTAGGCAAAACTAAATAAATGTAACTACACAGCTGTCAAACTGTCTTAAAACAGAAAGCTTTCAAACCTTGATGTGAGGATGTAACTGATACTCAACAGTCTTGTTAGAGAAATGCTGAGAGATAACTCTGCACCACATCTTTTTTATGATCTCTGCTCTCATGTACGTTACTACTCAACTTAAGGTCGAGGGGAAAAAAATAAAGTACAAGTTGCTTTTCTTTAAAAGTACATTTTTTCATGATAGGACAAGCACTCTCGTCTCGATAACTTTACAGTTTTTGAGAAATAACCAGACATTTAATTCTAAATTCTCGATTAAAGAAGCCACATAAGGTGAACTTACTACTTGGTGCGCAGATAGTAATGCAGGATGGGAAACAAAGTGAAGTTTTCTGTGAAAGTTTTATTTCAATTGGGTTAATGGGTTAGAGTGAGTCAAAAGATTCTATAACCCTCCAGCAAAATATCAAATTATTTTTTAAAGGAAGGCTATTTGGTGCTGAAACAATTACTGTAAAAAAAGATTTTTGATCATTCAGTGCCTCAGTGTCTACAAAAAGATGATTTTTCCTGCTTTCATTTTAGACTCGGTCTCACAGGCAGAGACTGGTCAGTAATGTCCTGGCAGCCACAAGTCACCGGAGAAGAATGTATATTTTTCAACTGGTTGCTGGCTTTAACAGGAGGAAATTGGACTCAAAGATATTCCAATCCATCCATCCATTATCATCATTTAATTCGGGATCTCGGTTGGACTGAAGCCTATCCCAAATGTGATGGCGTAGAGGCACGGTGCATCCTAAACAGATCTCCAGTCCATCATAGGCCTAACACCTAGAGAAAGATAACCATTCCCACTGCGCTCAATTTTTAATCCTCTCCATGTCTTTGTACAATAGGAAACCATACAGTTGCTTGTCACAGTAGTAAAGCATTTTTTCTTAGTGACCATTACAATGGATGTACTATGTGCAACTTGTGATGTCCAAGGACCCTTTGCTATGTTTACTAGAGAAGCTGGACGTCAAACCAGCAACCTTCAGATTAGCCACAGGCAGTCCTAACTCCTGATCATGGCTGATAGATGCAGTTTAGTCACCTAACAGGCGAGCAGGTGCACAAGTGCAACATACAGAGGGACAGTTTGTTCACTCAGCCACTTACCAAAAAAGAAACCAAGCATCCCATTAGTGACACCGATGCTTGCAATCATTAACAGAAATGAGAAAAGAGAAGGACATGTGAGGCGTGAAAAAAGAACACACAGAAATGAGAGATTCTTAAATAAGGAAGCGTTTTTTTTCTGTCCAGCAGTAAGATTAAGCAGACAGGTTCTTTCTGTGCTTTCACATTTGTCAATTTTCCCATATAATGTGTCAC